ACACACACACACACACACACACAGTTTTCTCTTAAAGCCAGAGGAAAGTTTTCACTCTGCTTCTTTTTCACTCATTTGTTAAGGATGATTGGCAAACAATAGAAGTACAAGCCACTTTCACCCCCATTATGGGTTTAATCCCAGGAGCGAATGGGATAAAGTTTACAAGAGTTAATGAGGAGGAAATAAGTGGGTTGAGGGACTCATTCTCCTAAACGGAGAGAGAAAGTGGGCGAGTTTAAGCCTGTTGCATGTAACAAACCTGCCATATGTTTTTTTTTAATAATTCAGAAGCATGAATCTTTATACTTAGATTCACAGCAGGAATGTTTTTTATTTAAATAATGCAGCTCCCTGGGTCTGCTGACCTTTCACCGCTGTACCGGGCTAATTTTGCACATGTTATATGGAAAATGTTAAGAGTTTTTTATCTTTACACAAGTGTGATACTGAAGACACCTCTACAGGTAATGAATGCATTTCCTGATGGAAACTTAATCTACCATCATTTCATTCTGTCAGACATCTCAAATTACACATGAAAACGGGAGAAATCGTAAATTTGTTAATGTATTTATACACAAACAATTTATTGCATAAGGAAAGTAATCCCATTTGATACATTTATTTTATGATTCAGACTCAGAAACAAGTAAAGATTTAAAATGCTCCTTTTATCCATTTACAAGAGGAAGCATAAACAGGCATTGGTGAGTTTTCAGTAGGCTCTGTACTTGTTCTATTGGCAGTAACACTGGATGAGATGCGGCCCGGGCTGGCTGATACAATGAAACAATTTACAGTGAAGACAAAGGAGAAGAGACGGCTTCATATTTACAGGAATTTCACATAAAGTGTCACAATTTTTCCACAAAGTGTACTTGTGGATGTCTTGAATTCCAAAGGGCAGCTCGAGTTGTCAGTCTTTAAAAAAAAAAATACAATCCCATCATGAAAATGAAGCCAGATTTCTCCAAAAAGATTCATCATGGTGTGTTCAGGGGTCTTAAAGTCCACCCAGCATCACCATGTCTTCCCAATAGACTGAATGTGCTCCTTAGCCTTCATCCTCAGTGAAGCAATACTGGAGTTCCTCGGATCAGCTGAGCACTGGTATGCCGGGGGCGGCAGGCACATAGAGCTGATGTGAGGCAGGTGAGAGCTGTGTCCCAGGGCTGGGGAGTTGAGGAAGGATGATGGCAAGGAAGAGGGCATGGGCGGAGGAGGAGAAGGCGTGTAAGTGCCTGGGAGGCCTTGCGAGTTGCTGACGAAGCCCGAGAGCGACTGCAGCGAAGTGGAGGTGGTGATCGGGGTGGAGAGCCAGGGCTCCAGCTGCAGCCCGGAACCCAGAGAGCTGGTGGGAGAACGACTGAAAGAGAGCAAAGACGAGGAAGGGGTGTCCTGAAGCTTGATGGAGCTCACCTCCAGCTTCTCCTGTCGACGCCACTTGGCTCGCCGGTTTTGGAACCAAACCTGAAAATATAAAGATTTTTTTTAATCATCTGTCTATCTTGATAAAACATTTCCCTAAAAGTTTGATTTATACCCGAAAAAGGAATGAGGTCTATGAATCGACCCAGCAGCCAGTAGAAATGCAGAAAAACACAACTTTAGGCCCAAAATCAGTCATAAATGTAAACTGTAACCTCTATAATTTAGAATGTGAAATAAAATATTGCAGGAAAGCATTTGAACATGAATGCAGAAGAAAGGAATTAAATATAGTGTCAGTGGAAACTTTTTGATTCCAGCACTTTGCATGAGCTGTGTCGCTGCACAAACAATAAAGTGAAACTGATTTAGAAATGGATTCAAATTCCATTTTTCAAATTTCTTTCAAATGTTTAAAAAAAACATAAAGACAAGTTCAACATTTATTTATTAATTTATTTGTTTAATTTTATAAATTTGATTCCTATTTTGCTTGGTTACAATTCAAACAAATAAATAAGCATTTCCTCTTAGATTAAAAAAAATCCACTGTGGTCACTTTTATTAAACATTTATGATCGTTTTAATATTCCATCATATTTGTCATATTTATGATCTTATATTGATCATAGGCATCAAAAAGTATTTTTTTTGCAAATCAAACGAACACGTCGTTTCTCTACATTTCTAAAAGATAATATAAATATTCAGAAATATATAATAAATATATTAAATTTAATCTAAAAAAGATCTAAAAAAAATTCTTTAGCCTTATAAGCATAGGAACCGTCATCATTATGGTTTGACTTACAGGCCTCACGGTCTTCAATATAATAAAAGGTACTTGCAATAAAATAAAACAAGTGGTTTTGCTTCGGGGACATACCTGCACCCGGACCTCGGGCAGGTTCACTTTCAAGGCCAGCTCCTCTCTGCTGTACACGTCCGGGTAGTGGGACTTGTCGAAAGCTCTCTCTAGTTCGTGGAGCTGGAAGGTGGTGAAGGTGGTCCGGTTCCGTCGGTGCTTCTTCTTGTGGCTTTCGTCGTCGGACAGTTTGCCGTCTCTGTCCGGTGAGTCCGGGCACACGGAGGCTTCGCCGGTGCTGCTGCCACAACACACACCTGTGAGGAGAGGAGGTGGTGGAAGAAGTCAAACACCGGGACTGGAAGTTTTAGCCGAGTTAAAATTTGCTTTTCAAAATAAAATGGTAACTCCACTTTTTCCAGTCCAGTGTGGCTTTTATTAAAAATTTTATTTTACATTTTTTTTCTTAGATTTGTTTAAAAAATTGAATGTATTTATTTAAACATTCATTATTTCATTTGTATTTTTGTATCTCTCCTTTAAAAAAAGAAAATAACCTTTTAGACAGTTGCACCAATATAAAATACATTTTGATTTCCTTCTGGGTAAAAACTGAATTCAAAGTGTTACTTTATCTGGAGTTTAAACAACTTTCCAAACTAAACCACAGGATGTCTGCATATTTTCAGCATATTGTTTTTGCACTCAGATTGACTGACGCGGGACTAAATGTGAAGAAAACCGCATTTACTTACTGTCACAACTTTCCGAGTAATGGTTTTTCTTCGTTTGGCTCACTATTCCATTCCCGTTGCGCTCAGCGTCTTTGACCTGGACTCTTTCCATCACGTTATAGGAGGCTGACTTGTGGAATATGGTGTCTTCTTTAAATCCCAGTATAGCCTCTATGCTGTGGACCGTAGACGGGTTGCTCCCCGGGTTCTGGACGCAGCGTGCGGAGGGAGACATGCGCTCATCCATCATCATTACTTGGGTAGTTGATCCAAGAAGCCACATTGGTTGATAAGTCCAGAAAAAATATCCAAAAGTAAAAAAAAAAAAATAACAAAACACTCTGACTTCTTCACAGATAATATTACCCCTTTTGATAAAGTTGTAGCTCAATGTCGGGCGACGTTGGAAAACTTGCGCACAACACCCAGGTATCTTGCTCGGTGGTTGTGGAGCATCTTCGGAGCCGGCTTTTAAAGTAGCGCCTGCTCTGAGACCCCCTGCTCATGCGGCACCCCCGCTGCACGTCATAGAGGGGACGTCCTGTTGGATTTGGCCCTGCTGGATTTAGGGGTGGCAGTGCGACCACTGCGGGCACCAGCCTCCACACCCTCCCTAACTCCTCCCCGTCACAAGTGCATGAGTCGGTGCTGGCTCTAAACCTACTTACATAAATCTTAAAACCATCTTTCCACTCCTCCAGATGTCATGTTCATGTCAGTCTGTGGGGAAAAAAAGAGAGGGAAGATTAGGCCCACAGATTTAGGTACAACAAAATCATAATTACAAGATTTCTGGTGAGGACAGGGATTGCAAGATGGCAGCTTAATATTTAATCAAATCGTCAAGATATTGTTGCCAAAAATGAAGAGACGTCCCCTTCAGTTTAAAGATTATTTGCTTTATTGACCAAAAGAAAAGGTCATGCACCAACTGACACACGACTGAAAGCAACTTAAATTATTTAATACACTCATTAAAAACCAATAAAAGCGCTTAATGATTTGTCAACAAGATTAATTTTAAAAACGGGTTCCTGCAAGTGTCGAGTCAAAGAGGTTAACAAAGCCCAAACAATAACATATTTGTGCTATAGCCACTTAACGGCAAACAAAGATTGACAGCAGTGTGGTAATCCTGCTTAAGGGGATTACATTATTTTACTCAAAAGAGTTAAAACCCCTAAAACTATTTAGCTTTTCCTAATTAAAGAAGGTGACCTTATCCTTTGTTTGCCACAGAGACGAGGGGGCACAAAAACAGAGAGAGATGCAAACGGGGAAAAAAGACAACTGTCAGCAAAACTTTTACAGAAGATGCTCTCAGTGTTTTGTTGCACACACGATGCTATCATATAAGACAGATTGCAACTTGCAGATAATGATCTTCGATTATGTTTTTGTCCAAAAGACTAAACTCTTAAGCCAAGAGACAGAAGTGCAGGGCTCACAAGTTTATTTGTCAGTTAACAGAGATAGCTGTTTGGAAAAGGGGTTTTTAGAGACATGTGCAGCCCACATATCGCTAAAAGTCGTCCTGTGTTTTTTGTTTCACGTCTGTGTGGTGTGTTGCTCATCAAAGAGGCCTAAATCTACTAAATGTCATCAAAAATCAAACCAAAACAAAACCCTGAGTTTTTCAGATTATTCTAAATTAGAGATTGAAATTTGAACTTCTTGAGGGGGGGGGGGGTGAGATTGATACCCCTCTCACATCTGTATTGTAAATATCCAGAAGCCAAATATTTAGCATGAAAACTGTAAACAGGAGAAAACAGCCCAGCTTCTGTACAAAACATTTACTTACATCTAATTAAAGCAAATCCAAAACCTGGTAATTTTGTGGTTTTATATTTGGTTATAGAACTGACAAAGGGGTCAGTAAAAACAGAGGTACTGGTAGACTGAGTAAGTCCCTTCGTCTCATATTGTTGACCCAACTTTGCCCGAACTGTTTGTTAGTGATATCAGTCTCCTCGCTCTCATCAGCTCTCAATAAGAAAGCAACCTTTTTTTTCTTAACTTTGATGCTACTATAATTCAGCTGGTTAAGGAAACAACCTATATACCAAAGGCTATTATCCTCACTCCAGTACCTTGGGTTTGAGTGTCCCCTGCTTGTTTCCCTCTTCACTCTCCTCCCCTACCTTCTTGCTTACTTTACTCTCCTATTAAAAACAAAAGCAAAAAGGCCCCAAAAAGCTAAAAATAAACATAACTGTTACATGATAAGGACAGAACCTTGTGAAAAACTTTGCACACATTGTTGATGTGTGTAAATGATGTGATACCCCATGCAGGATTGTACTTTAGCATTTCATTTATTAATCCATTTATGTACTTTGAAGAAATAAAACAATACTGAAAAACCAGATGGTGTATGATTTAGATTTTACTTTGTTGGAAATTAATTCCCAAGTTTAAGCATGGCTTGGGGATACAGTCAAATGGATAGGTACAAAGTACAATATTTAAATAGTTTAGTTGAAAAGATCATTATTCTAGATAGAAAAATACAACAGCGGGTAGGGGGAAAACCATTTTAGTTACTGATAAGTTCTACAAGGAAATAATATCTTGAATAATGAATGAATAATAAACATTACCATTATGTTGTCTGTGTTTTTGGTGAATTTGAGTTTGACTTTTAGTGATGATTTTCTGATTTTAACTTTACACTACATGCACTTTATTAAATTAAAACTGTCCCAAGAGCTCCACTGCAGGTCCAGTGTAACAAGTGGTTTAACAATAGATTTACTGTGATGACTTTGTGGAAACTCATCCATCTAATGTGTAGAAAAGTAAAGATTGTGATTTACATTATGCTCATCCTGACCAATGCTGTGACCTTCTGGGGAATAATTAAAAGCCTTGACTTATTAATAAAGGGTTTCTGTTGCCACAGTGCATCAGTGAGCGTAACTAAACTATTATGGCGCTGGTAGGTAACTCTAATTAAGCTGCGAGTATACAGGAGAATGTTTTAAGCCACAAACAGAACTTCTGCTCCTGTTAATATTTTGTTAAACCTGCACTGGCTGCACTCATTGGTGAGTCAATTTCTCTGTGTAGCACCTTAAGGAGCTAACAATTTCAACTATTAAGCCATTATGATTAGCTAACTAGTGCTATTGTTTGCATTTATCCATTATTATTTCAGTGCTTTAAATCTTACCTTTAGCAATGTATATCAATACTCATGGGTAATCATATAATATTCCATTATAACTGGTTACTTTTTAGCAACAGTAAATTTTTCAATTTAAGAAAAAGTATACTTTAACAGTGCATTGCTTGCTTTAAGCTAACTATGTTAGCTTAAACTGTTTAGCCATTACTTTTTGCTAGCTCTTTAAATATTTAGAAATGAAAATATTTTCATTCTTAAATCTCCATTTGTTTCACACTGTACAAGCATGTCTGCAAGCATTTTTAAACTGCAAAAGTTTTGTTGGGTGAATGGGGTGTTATGGAAATATTCCAAGCTAGTACTTCCTTGTTCTGTAAAAGGAGAATTAGATAGTTGGTTTTTCAAAATATGAGTTTGTCCTCTCATCTGGAGAGAAAGAGAGGAGGACGGCACAGGCTGACAACCTTGACTGTGCTGATCCTATTAGATGTAATCTCCAGACTTTACAAATCCACATCTTGGGTTCATGTGAAACTCCTAAGGTTGTGAATCCCTGTCCCCCCAGCCCCCATCCTTTTCTGCCTTATAGTTCCAAACTGTTTGGATAATGCCCAATTAAATTAAGACCTATTTATTTACTTACTGTATTAGTCCTGATTCAGTAGATGGGATTATTGTTACTTAATCTTAAATATTTGATGTCTGTACAACAGAATTTCTGCTTGGCTCACCAGTTTAAAAGCCACCAAGTCTGATTATAAAATCACATTGCCATATACAGTACATTCATAACAAGGTGTTTCCATTTAAATTGCTGCACATAACTGACACATAAAAAAGTCAGATATTTGAGAAGATATTTCAAGCTTAACAATGCAAACCAACACGTTACTTGTATTCCACATATGTCTTTATTTGAAGTTTTCTCAGTGTAGCCACCATGTGTGTTTTAAGCGTTTATGAGCATTGCTTTTATTGTAATGATTTTGAAATTACAGTTTGTGCAAATTTGCAAATGTCTCCGCAAATGTGTCAGACACAACAGTTTTTATTACAACTATAATGTCAAAACTTGTAGAGATCACCTTTTGTAGTAACACCGACAGAAAAAAAAGACTACATTTCATTAGTTCAACACCATATACAAAAGAAAAAAAAAATCTAGAATCACCATGAAACCAAAAGGAAAGTGGAAATATGCAGACAGGATTGGTTTAATAAGTCTTGGTTATCTTAATGAACCGCAAAACAATTTTAGAGATTAAACATTTAAATTTTTTGATAAACAGAGAAAAAAAGTCTATATTATATGACAATTACAAATTTCGAAATATATCAGGGCCTTTAGCTTTATGAAGGAGTTATGAAAAGAAATCAACCGTGGCAGTGGATCAGGAAAATGTACTTTTCTAGATTTCTTGTCTAAACGGGGATGAGGGGGAGGGAGCGGATCGGGCACTCAGCACATGATTTAAAATAGTATTATTTTGTTTTTATGGAAACTTGGAAACGATTACCCACCGAGTAATCAGCTGACATGGAAACCTTTAATGTATATTCTTAAATAGATGCAGACTGGTTGCGGTAAAGATATAACACCCTGGTGAAGATAATGCCTTTTCGTTCTTATAAGAAAAATGAATACTTTGCAGGCATTTTTACGTTTTGACTGTATCCCAGATGTGTTTTTTTCCCCAGGAAGTGGTGATATTCATTCCTCTCTTCTTCTTCTCCCCGACTTTGTGAACTCATGCCCTCTCTGGCCGCTCACATGACGGAACACTTCTCTTCTGCTTTGGTCTTCAGCTCGGTGACCGTCGCCGAGGCCTTCTCCTTCAGCTGGTCCATGTCCATGTTCTGCAAGTTTTGAATTTGACCCAGGAGGGAGTCTTTGCCTTCCTCCTCTGTAGCGTCCTCATCCACCATCTTGAGCAGCTCCTCGGGCACGTCCACGTCATCCCCGGCCATCTCGATCATGTTCTCATCCTGCTCGCTCTGCACGTGACAACATCAGAACAGAGAGCACGGTCAGAATCCAGGAACATCGATGCGTTAAGGTGAAAGTTGATTCATAAAACAAGCTGGATAATGACACGACAGCAATCACTGCATTTCTACATTTTATGTTGAATTCTTACAAAGAGAATTGAACAGGCTTTTTAAAGATCTACCTTTTACCCCTTTATTTTTTAAATTAGGCACATTTTTCTGGGTTTGAAATCAAATTGTAAACAAGCAAAGTTAAAAACAAGGC